ATCAGGCCCAGAACTACAACGAACAACTGCATCACCATAAAAATTCCAGCAAAAAGCTGCACCTATCAGAATATCCACACTTACAGGACCATCTACATCAACATCAGCCAATGTTAGACCCTTAAAATGATTATAATTTCTAATAGCAAAATCAATATTTTGACCAATATTAGGAAACATATATGTCTTTGATAAAACAAGAGATTAAAACAAAACAACGATTAGTATCTTTAACAGTAATTTGAACCCTTTCTAATACTTCAGTTTCACTATGATTTTCAAATGTATTAATAATGACTCTTTTTGTGCCTGATGTTTTTAAATTAAGTTTACTTCGTAATGATAGTGAGATGTAACTAAGTTGTGAGCAGCTATCGAATAATATACGAGCAGGTTGAATAATATAATTTGAGGTTACAGTGACTTTGGCTGTTTTCAATAAGACTGAGTTATTATACTTTGATAATGAACCAGCTACTAATGAAGACGAACAATTTTCTTGAACATCTGTTTTCTTAGTTTAGTCCTTATTCCTTTATTTATACACATTGCTGCATGATGCAATATTTGAAGAGATGAAACTTTATTTTTATATTACAATCCTTTGAGATTTCTAATTTTTAAACATTTGAAACCTCTCCTTTTTTTCTTTAAAATTAGTCTCCTCTAAACTTATAATCGTTTTACACTCTAGAGGCTTGTGATTTTTATAAATATATTTTTATATATTATTTATATACTTTTTTATATTAAAATACATTTTAAATAGTCATTAAAATTATTAAACTTATTTTGTGGTTTCATGTTTTCTCTTGAATATAATGCTTCTGCAGTAAAATGCTGAGATTCATCTTTACTAAGTTGGCTTCTTTCACGAGCTTGAATTTCCTTTCGTAAAATGTTAAAAACAATTTTCATATCCCAACCGTTATCGACATTAACAAACTAAAATGTTTAAAACTCTTGATATAATTAAGGCAAGATTCTCAGGAATTTTTTACATCAGTACATGTATTAGAGGAGGACCATATTGCATAGAATCTACTCCTAAATTTTATAAACTTCTAACCTGGATTTCAATTTTGTCATAAATTGTACGAAGAGCTACTATATTTCTAGTTTTATATACTTTTTTGATCGACAATAATGTTCTCATATGAGAACATATAACCAATTATTTGTTGTCATATTTTTCTTTTAATAAATTGATTGCAATGTTGTAACTATCATTAGTAAGAGCAAGTTTTGTTAGAGTGGAAAGCGTTTGTCCTTTTAAAATATTTCTTAGATACGTTAATTTTTGTATTGGACTTAGGCCTTCATTACTATTTATAAAAAATGTAAAATTTTCATAAAACGTTTGACATTGTTCAGGTCTACCATCAAATGATTGCAATTTTAAAGATAGAAGTTTTACCATTATATTATTTTTATAAGGGCTATTTACTAAACTATCTGAATTAGACTTATTGTTAATAAACTTATTAATTTCAGATAACTTGACAAGATAAAAAATTATAAAGTCAGTGCTTCTTGAAGTTTTGCCTCTTCATCAATCAAATTAACAATTTCTTTATTTTGAATGTTGAATCTTATTAAATTTGTCAACAAGAGTGTCAGGGAGAACAGTTAGGGTTTCAATCAACTCATTAAAGGTATTTAAATTATCCTCCCCATTATACATTTTATCTAAAATACGCCTAATGGAATTAACATAAGTTGTATGAACTCTACGTTTAATAACAATGGTAGAAATTGTCTTCAAAAAAAAAAATTTCAAACCTTATTTACCAACAAGTTAACAATAAATAATCAACTTTACCATGTAGGTCCAAACTTGTCTTGGTTTCTTACTTCGCCAAAATCCAGAAGAAAATAATAATAATAACGAGATAGTAAAACATTAAAAGCCTAACCTATAAATTAATACTAAATTAATTAACTATAAACTTAGATGCTGGGATATTAAACGAGTAAACTTATAAATGAACAATGTTTTTTTAGCACTTAATAAATCTGGGTACCTCAGTTTGCAAAAAATTTCAATTATTCATAAATAAATTCTATAAACAATCATATATAGCAAATAAATATATGTAAAAACACTTATTCGTTTAAATCTTTTGCATCTAATACTTGTACGTCGAAAATTCTTTCTCTTTTTGTAGGTTCCAATATTGCATTGTATTAGGGTTTAAACACTAACAAGAATACAAGTATATTTATTGATATAGATATATTAGCTTTCTCTCGTTATAAATATTACATCAAGAAGATACTAGCAATGACTACAGCTACGAACTACTAGAATGCAGCTATAAAACTATTTTACAAATCGCATAGCAATTGTGTGGCAAAAAGAGTACGCACAAACAAATAATAAGCGATAAGCATTGAGCGCTCTTGCAACAGCTCTAAACCTACTTTTTTTTTATATAGGTCAATATTCATATCGACGTATGGGTTCCTCATTTAATTTTTTAGTAAAAAATAAATTTGTATCAAAAACAATTGATTTTATTTTTAAGGATGCATTACAAAAATATATATTAAATCATCTTTTATTTATTTCAAAAGTTTTGTATACTATTTATATCACTACTTATTATAGCGGCTTTTATCTATAGGTTTTAGAAATAGGGAAATCACGTAAGGAATCCATTTAAAATGTTATATTCACTTTAATTTGTAAAAAAATAAATTTGCTTTTAAAGTTATCTCTCAACGTTCAAAAATTATGACTATATAAAGTTTGCGCTCACCTTAATTTTAGGGGGTTACAAACTTTATATGGTCATAAGTTTTGAATGCGGAAAGATAATACAATGAAACTTATAACTTATCGCTGAATGTAAGTCTAGTTTAGAATAGTAAAAATATTTTTATCATCTTTTTCTCCTCACGTTTGGGGTAGGGAAGGGGGTAAAATTTAGGGAGTATTTATTCCCAGCTCGCAAATATCGCAATTATTTGCAAAGCATACACATCCAAAATGTTTGAAAATAGCTCTATGTCTAGAAATTAGCTAATACACCAAAAAATTCTGGATCAGTCACTGGGCAACATGACATTCTAAAATGCCCTTTGTCAACCCTGTGGAAGCATGATATTATCTACATCTTTTTTATCTGGAAATATTTTTTAAAAACTCTAATCATCTTTTCAATAAATTTGTTTTTGTACATTAGGAGATAAAACACAACAAGTAAAAACATGCTTGCAGAACAGTGTTTGAAGTCTACAGAAATATTCATTGCAAACCACTTACGTGCGCTCGGTGCTTTAAATGTGTATTAACTCAATTTATACCAACTTTTATCGTTTATGTTTATAACAAAAAAGGGATTGTCCTCAAAAAAACTTCAAACCTATTTAATAAAATTAATCATAAGTATTTAACAAAATTTTTAGATAACAACTTTGTTCTACTCAAGTATGATTTAAAATTAACCTCCGATTCACTTAACTACCGCGGACCTTACCTGTAAAAAAATTTCCAGAGATTGTCAACAAAAACAAGACTGCATTAGAGCAATTTAAAAATGAATTAAAAAAGGATATTATTCTTCAGGGATCTTTTTATTTATCTGACTTCAAATGTTTCTTTTATAATAAATTTAATAAGGTAAAAACAAATTTGTTTATATCAATGAAATTTTAGTGATGATGCTAAAAATTCATCTTTGATAATGTTAATTATGAAATTTTATATTATTCTTTTTTTATTCAAAAGTTTTTGTTTCAATGATTTTTAAACATTGTAGCGGTTCTTAGCATTTTAACACTTCTCAATTATTTACTATTTTGAATGTCTTAGTATTCTTAGTTATTTTTTGTTTTAATTCTGATTTATGTTTTTATATATATTTGTATGCTACGGTTATGTAGAGCTTTTTTTTACATATGGGGCTTGGCGATAAAGCAAACTATGCCTTCTTTTTGCTCCAATCAATAATTTTAATATATGTATATGCAATGTAAACATTTTTTAACGGTGAAATAAATTATACCAAAAAAAAAAAAAATTCATTTTTAAAAAATGACATAAATGTTTTTTTTTCTTTCTCTTTTTAAGATAATTGTTATGGAAAAGTTTGTTATGGAAAAATTTGACTTATTCAAACTTTAGATTGTTTAGTGTCCCGGATGTACTAAATAGTTAAGATAAAGCGAACATAAAACAATTATTAAAAGATATTCATCACAAATGCCATTGTCAAAAATAAATGTTTTTAAGGATTAATGTGCAAACCCAAACCTTTTGACGTCTACTCATTCCCCTGACCTTCGCTTGCCCCTTCCCTAGGATACTACACCTCTATCCACCACTGCCTGTAGGTACATGATAATGTACGTAAATTCTAATGTACTTTATAAAACTTCAATTTAATTACTTCTAAAAACCTATTGTCGAAAGTCACCATAAAAAGGCACTTGAAAGCTATATTTGTGTGTTTTCCACACAAGCCTTATTTGTAGTTGTTATAAAATTTTGTTAAAGAATATAATTTTTGAAAAAATGAACTTTTTTTGAACATAGCAGCGAAAAAAGTCTGATAGAAGCCAGGAACTTTTTATAGTGTCAGTACCTGACACATGAATGGTTATAAGCTCCCTTTATATTTTCCTGACATATTCTATATACAGTTTGTTAAATTTTGTATAAACGTTTTTTCATTTTTGATAATGTTCTTGGTTTTTTTTTAACTTCCAACTTATATTTTGGTTGCTTGTAAAGTTTTTGTAAATGAATTTATTTAAAATAAAAAAAAAAACTTTAGCAAGATTAAGTATATTAAGATAATAAAAAAATGTTCCGTAAATACAGACAGTTAGGTAAAGAGCAATTTTTATAAACCAGTAATTAATTATATGTTTAATAATATTATAATAGTATACATTTTTTGAGAATTAGTCAAAATTGTGGAAAGTTTATATACGACAAAAATATATATATATATATATATATATATATATATATATATATATATATATATATATATATATATATATATTTTTTTATTTTTTTCCCCAAAATACATATTTGTAAAAATGTGCATGTAATGAATTCGTCATCAACTTTGAAACGTTTGGTAAAAACATGTTTATCCTAAAAATTAAAATCATTATAAAAAAGAGCATGAATATTTATTAAGTCATATTTCTTAAAAAAATAAATTAAACTTCATTCTTAATTTCGTAAAAAGTATAGAAGTCTTGTAAATAATGAAAATTTAATATACTATATTATTAATAAAATAATAGCAATATATATAATATAATAGAGCAGAGCAGCCTTAGCTAGAGCAATTGAAAATTGTGAAAAACCTGTCAAATGAACGAGCGGGTACTCGGAGACATTAAAAAATATTTTTAAAAGAATTCTTTTTTATTTATTTTTTATCAAAACGTTTTTTTCATTTTTTTTTTTCACCTAAAATTTAATTTGAATTAAGTATCCAGGTTACACAAGTCTCAATTACGGTTTACACTTGTACGTCCAATGTCTTGGGTGCCAAAAATGCACGCAGGCGATACACTATATACCTAGCAGTCGAAAAATCCCTAATCTGCCTTGTTTCGGCTCTAATTTATTTGCTTTTATTTTGATACTTTCTCGATATACTGGAATCAAAAAAACTTCCATTTTATTTAGTATATAAGCGCTATAATGGTGACCAAGCCATTATAGCGCTTATATAGTAATTACCATTAAACAGCACGGCCCCAATCACCCAATGTAGCTTTGTTAATTACTCTAAGATGTCGGCTTCCAATGATTTTTGCTATTTCAAAATTTCAGTGAAGCTTATTTGTTATACAATTGCTGCATTGCTAATGTACTTCGTCTTCCAGTCGAAGCATATTTAGGAGTTTCAGAACGACTCCAATTGCTATTAGTAATGAGTGAGAAAAACATTGTTGATCTGGCTGTTTATGAAGAAAGGGCGTTGCTACATTTTTATTTGAGTCATTATCATGGTCGGTAGGAGAATATTTTTAACAAGAATCTGCCAGTCTTCAGCAGAACCTGGCAAATGAATAATAACATTTTTCCAGTGTGTCATTCGGAACATTTTTTGTGTGTAAAATTGATAAATACAGCTTCCGTTCTATGTTTATTCTTTGCAGATAACGCAATGTTTTGATAACTTGTCCAAATATCAGATGAAACGCAACAAAGTCTGCCTTCTCTAATTTCAGTTTCAGAGACTTAACAGCCTGGTCTTATATTCTCTTTATCAGTATTATAAAAGTTGAACGCGCTTTAACAAGATAGTCTGGATCTGTGTTGTTTCGACAAAACTTATTAGGTATACATCACAAGCATCACGATAAAGTCTTTCTGATTCAAGACTAGTTTTCTTTCTTTTTTTACTTCAGGTAAGGAAACTGTATAAAAAAAGATATGTATAGTGTGTTCAAACTGCTGGTTCCATCGTTATTTATATCACGCGTTCCAGTAACATGTTGATAGAGTGTGCTAGTATTACCTTCTTTCGCAGTCAAAATTGCCTCACAGAGTTTGCATTTAACGTTACTCCTATCAATTTGGTCTGCATAAGACCACACTTTTAATACTTAAGCAAATTCATTTTTCCTACATTGTTGTTAATATTTTTTTATTGCAATCATCATAAAGATAAAGTAAAAAGAACACACAACATTTTCTAGCTTTTACAAAACATATATTTGTTATAAATTATAAACTGCTATTTTGGAAAATATTTAAGGTTTTAAAATATTTGTTTTACGCTCACGTTAAAAAAAAGTTAATTTTTCAAATTTTTTTTTTCAAACAAAATATTTCTAACAAGAAACTGAAAATACTTTATGTATAACATTTTGCTTAACTGAAACTTGAACTCTTGGCAAAGAGCTTATATTGAAAAAGTTATGTTTTCCATATGACGGGCACCAGGTTTTTTTCAGCTACAAGCCAAACTTAAATAAAAAACAAACCAGAAATAAACCAAAACAAAAAAAAAAAAAGAAAAGAGAAAAAAAAAGAGTAAAGGAAACCATTTTAATTTAAAAAAATTGTTTACTTAAGTATTGCTTTAGTATTAATCATTCCTTAAATACAATTAATAAATCATCACTATATACTTTTTAGACACATTTAACATCGTGCCGCTAAATACGTGAAAATCATCTTCATTTTTGAATGCATCTATTGTGTAAATTTTATTTACAATCTTTGAGATCATTGAAAGAGAGATGTTAAAATCGTTGCTGCAAATCTTTCGGCTACTTAATCAAGATGTTATGCGAACAACTGCTTCCAACACTTGGTTTGACATTCTGTTTCTCTGCGTTTTACGTAGATGACCTGCGAAAAGACTCTTTCATTAAAATTGTCCAAAAAAAGTACACTAAAAAGTAGTAGTCGGAAATGTTGCAAAAAGTGGGATTTCAAAAAAAGTTCTCATAGTTTTTCAAAGCTGTCTAGAACTCAACAGTATTTTTAAAAACTTCTTTTTCTTTAAAATTAATAGACTTAGCCTATTCAATGTTGCTAACTTTTTTTGTATTAGTTGTCATTTTCTTGACTTTTTTTACACACTAGATGAAGAAAAGGTAGCTTTGAAAATTGAACTTTTTCAAAGCTATTTTTCAGAAAAATCAAGAGCTCAAAGCTTTAAATGACTGGAGTAAGGAAAACAACATAAAGATAAACGGTGCTGTGTTGGAACACTTTGATTATTGTAAAGATTTGTGAAGAATCCCATGATTTCTATTCATGTCAGCACAAATAAAGATTGCTTTTAGTTCTTGCCAATTCACAATCAAATTATAAAACACTTTTCTCAAACCAACCAACGAGTCACAGAAATTTCCTAAAAAGTGATGAGAGTTCCACGCGGTAATTGTTTGGCTTCATAAGTTCAAATAGTTTTTGACAAATACTCGCTTTGACAAATAGAGTTCTTTTGTTAACACCGGAAAACATTTTTCATTGTTCATTTTCTATTTAAAGCCTGACTGGATATGGAATTGCATTAAAAATATATGCAACACAAGATTTAGAGGTTGAAAAATGCACATCGTGGACAAGATATCATTATAATAATATAATGAGGAAATATGGCCCGCAAGACCAGGCTGAGTAATGTATGGCACTAGCATTCGATGCACCATCGGAACTGTATCTAGTGCAGTTTTCAAGAGATAATCCAATAGAGTGCATTTCTTAATTCATTAAATTAAAGATATCAATGCCAGTTGTTGAGAGCACTTGAATGATACCAAGAAAGTCATCGACAATCTGTTTCTCTTTTATTGAAAAATATTTTACACATATTTCTAAGTGATTGATTGAACTCACATCCGAAGTGTCATCAATGAAGATAGAAAATGGCTTTGACTTGATTTTTTTTAGAAATTTCTTCTTCTTGAACTGATGAAATGATTCTCAGGATTTATTTTTGAACGCTTAGTGCCTTAGAGTTTTAAATGTTCAACGGGACTGCCTAAATCATTTTTTGAAATAGTTTCATACAAATGGTCAGCAATTGAATTTGTCAAGTATTACCAAATACACATATCAAGCTAAATCACTACTTTTTTTGTTTACATCTGCAGTTTTAATTGACCTTGGTTTTCTTTATAAATATATTGAATAAATTAAAACTAATGATTCTCAGATTGAAATTTGGATAGACAACTCAAAAATATATAACAACAACAATATTAAATAAATTACAAATGTATCACAACAACAATATTGATTAAATTTAAAAAAAATAGTATAACGACAACAATATTGAATAAATCAAAACTATTGATTCTGGGATCGAAATGCGGATAAACAATTCGAAAATGTATAACAACAACAATACTAGTTATTCAGTTTTTAATACAAACTCTCAACAACTTTTTGAATTTTTGTTTAGTGGTTGTGAATTTTTAAGAGCTCAATACAATAAACGTTTTCATTTTAATCAGTTAATTTAAGTTTGACATTTCAAAGCCTGATTACTCAAATTTTTCATTTTTATCAGAAGATAGTTTTCTTTGGAAATAAGTGAAATTTAATAAGCAAATAAATTTAATGAATCTTCATCATGCTCAGGGTGGATAAATTTTCAAAATGTTAACTAATTACCCTTCCTTCGTATTAAGCACCTGAGAGTAAATGCTTAAACAAAAAAAATTTAACAAGGTCAGAAAAATATTGAGCAGCTCTGTAAGCATATACTATTAAATAGACATTTTTAAAACAAAGATATCAAAAAAATATTCAGCCATTAAATATATAAATTTATTTTAAAAAGTTGCAACCAAATAAAATAAGTACATACCCAGTAAGAATAAATACGTCTAAAAGAGGTCGAAAAGAGGTCTTTGAGTAAGTCTAAAAGGCGCATTCGTAGACGCCTAGATCATAATGCTAAAAATAGTCTTTATAAAGACGTCTACGTAAAAACGTGTTTAATACATCTTATAAACGTATTTTTTTAAATGTTTTAATACACACGACGCTACATTTTCAAGCTATATATTATCCTTGAATATCATATCGGAATTCAGACAAATATATGCCAGAAGCGAAGTAATATATAAAACAGTATTATATGCAAGATAGTTGTCAAAATACATAATCCACCAGAAATTATTAGGCTCTTATTCAACAAAAAAATATTTATAGACAAATTTAACAGACAAAATGCAATTACTAAAAGAAAAGAAAATAACAATTAGAACATTTATCTGGTATTATGGTTTATCCTCCTCCGGCTAGTTGACATATAGAGGCCACATTACCAAGGTACCGCAAAGACAGGTTCGGCTCCCCAAGGAGCGTCATAACCCGCTCTACGGAGCAAGAGTAAAGTGAGTTTAGGAAGAACGAAGATATGTTAGAGTGAAAGACAGAAATAGTCGTGTTAGAAAGACAGCGTAGAGAAAGCGGACAGGATTGCACTCGATGTTAGGAAGTGCAATAAGTTGAAATAGGGACTAAAAACACAGGGACTAAAAAGTTTCAGTATGTGTTTTTTTCCGTCATGATTAGAACATTTATCTTATTTTATAAATAATGTATAAAATGTGCATTTTGCTCAAAATTCAAACACTATACTTTAGATACAATTAAATTGTGGGTTTTTATAAACTCAAAATAATTATTTATAATAAATATCTTTTTTAAATAATTTTATCTGAGGCTTCCTAAGAACTCTTTATGGCTTGTCACAAAGCACTGCGGAAGAACATTTAAAAAGAAGGTCACGCCTCCTTCCTAACCAATATTGAAAAACTTAATTTCTAGGCAAGAGCGCTACCACTGCGCTACACGACTGCAAAGATAATTTTATTATATTTCAATATAAAAAAATTATTTGTACATATAAAATAATAAGCTCATTAAGTATTACATTAAGTATTAAGTATTACATATAAAATAATATGCGTTTAAAGTAAGCGCGCTTACTTTAAAACAACTTGGCAAAGCCGTCAAGAAGATGTCTTAAAGACATATCATCTTTAAAGACTTCTGAGTTAAAACGTTTTTTAGCCTTATAATCTAGGCTTAGAAGTTATTTTAAAATTTAATGAAGACGTCTTTTAAACGTCATTTTAAAAGCGCATTTATAAAAGACGTCAAAAAGATATCTTTTCAAAAAACGTATTTCTAAAGATATATAAATGATGTCTTAAAGATGTTTTTAAAAATGCGTCTTTATCTAGACCAGTTTTAGACGTTTACAAACGTCTAGAATGCGTCTTGTGCCTACTAGGTATTTACAAAAATGTTAATAAATAAGTTTTAATCCATAATTTTTAAAAAAGCTTAAATTTAAAGTCTAACAAAATTGTTTAAAACGATTTTAAACCTTTTTAAATTTACTTTTTTTTTGTATAAGTACTTCTGATAATATTAATACGCTAATTTATTATTACTTGTCGAATTACGTCATTTTCTAGGCTTTTCTATTTTAAAGTAGTTTCTAGGCTTTTCCATACGCATTTTTTTTTTTTAATTTTATTTGCTAACAACGCGTTTTACGGGTTGCTTAATGTTAGTGTATAAGGATTTCACAAAGGAATCATTTTAAACACATAGAAAAAAAAGTGAAAAAATTGCAATTAGTGAAATATAATAACAAAATAAATAAACATTTAAACTTGTAAAAATAAAAAAAAATAATTTATAAAGATATTCACACAAGTATTGTAAAATGTTTAGCAATTGAACCTGTCATTTTAAAAAGGGCACAAGTCCAAAACTTTTAACAGTTAGATTATAAATTTGAATTAAAATTTTTCGTATGATTTATATTTTTCTTATAAAAAATGAAAGTCACAAAAGTTATATAGATTCTTTATTTATCAACTTCTATGTTTAATTTCTCTAGCAGTGTAGACATTATTTAAAAAAAAAATCATGTTTTTGTTGATTTTAAAAAGTTTTTACAAATGGACTTGTGTCCTTTTAGAAATGACAGGTTCAATTATGATGGAACATAAACTAATTTTTTACAGATAAATAGTAAGACTTTGCTTTAACCCTCACACTCTTGAACTGAAATATGAAATTTGATAATTTGCTAGTCCAAGAAAGTCATGAAGGTAGAAAATTGATATTCATTAAATCGATGAAAATAAATTTTTCATATTGCTTTATTAAAAAATTAAGTATACACTAAGTAATAAACAATAAAATCATAACTATTTCCAGTATTAAAATCAACAATGCTGCATTCTGGATTTATATTAGAACTAATAAAGAGTTACAAATTTCTTATAAAATGAATTTAAATATTATTTGTATCTATGATAATGTTATTTTTATTTTTTTTAACAAGAAAATCTACAAAATGTTAACTTTTTGTTTAAATATATAATTTTAAAATTTTATTTTTGCCCATTTTTCCGAGTTTGTCTGTGAACCTATAGTTAAATCAACTTTTTTAAATTGAACTATTTGCCAAACGTTTAAGGTAACAAGAATCTGATTATATTAAATCCTCATAGAATTGTTTTACTGCATTTTTATACACATTCTCTACAGTTCTCTACAGAATCGGTATTAAGTTTCTTTGCAATTTTTTTTTGGCTTGTCTGCATTACGATCCCAGAAATCTTTGCCAAATGTTTATCAAATATCTTTTTACAAAAAAAAATTCTGATTTTAATAAAAAAAAATTGTAACCGTGAAAATCAACAAGATATTTAAGAAATTGTTTTCATATCAAGATGATATTGTAAATTGTTTTAAAATGAATTTTTCAAAACTTAATAAAAGAATGAAAAAAATTTAAAACTAATAAAAATACGGGTATCCGTCAGATAAAATTGCTATCCGGGCAAAATTCAACGGCGGATACCCGGATGCCCGTCAACAGCCTAAGCCTTGGCGCAGAAGTTAAAAATAAAGGCCTTATAAGATTTTTAAAATGTAATTTTTATATCTCTAACAAGATACCAGTTATGATGTTACAAGCAGAAGACAAAAATAAATGTTAAACTGAGAAAAGTTGAAAAGTTAAAGTCCGAACTGAATTTCAAAATAATGATTTTGTTATAAAAAAGACAAGAGTTGGTTGATCAGATACATCAACTAAAATTAGGCGGGTGGTACATCAACCAAGAGTAGGTGAGCCAGATATATCAACTAAGAGTAGGCGGGTGATACATCAACCATGAATATGTGGGTCAGATACATCAACTAAAAGTAGGTGGATAATACATCAACAATGAGCAGGTGGGACAGCCTACGACAGTATACTCTAAGTAAATAATAAATTTAAATATTCTTGTTATCATTTTTTTTTTGGTGATAAATGGCTTTTTTTATAAATTAATGAAAAAAAAATTATATAATATAATTTGAAATTTTTTTCGAAAAAAATATTATTTTTTACGGCGATTTCGTTTCTTAATACAATAAATTGTTTCTAATAAAAAAAAGTTTATAAACTTATGTTTTTCAGGTTTTGGCTTAAAATCTTTACTTTTGACCTGAGGGGCCATCCATAAAGGACGTTACCATTTTTTAGCCAATTTTCGACCCCTCCCCCCCTTTGTCACCGGTTGTCCTTTTTCCCTATACCCCCTTGAAAAGTACGTCATAAAATCCTGAACCCCCCCTGTTTTTAACTCCAAAAAAATTTATTTCATCTCACAATGATGTTTGAATCTGCTGCTACACCTTTGAAAAATAAAATTTAAAGTATTCTCATACATTATCTTCTTAAAAAAACACATGTTTACGTAGTTTTCCATGTTAACTAAACTAAAATAAAAAATCTATAAAGTGAGGTCTTTTTCTGACAACCTCCCCCCTCCCCTTGTCCTTTTTTGTCCTTTTTAACTCGACCCCCTCCCCCCCTATTCGGATGACGTCCTTTATGGATGGCCCCTAAGGTGTATTGGTAAGGTAAAGGCGTGAACTTTACATTCAACGACACTTTATTACTAGTAAATCACTTATTTATTTTTAATAATTCTTTATTAAGCATTTATTTTATTTACAGTAAACAGTTATTTTATTCTTATTTTACATTTATATTTATAAAAAGTTTACCTGAATATACTTTTCCTAATTTATCGCAGCAAGCTGTACCTGCTAAACAGGAGTATAATCCCGGTGGGCCTAAAAATATTAAAAAAAAGTTTAATTTTTTTAAAAATATATTACATTTCAATTATCAATTATTTTGAATACAATATTTTTAAAATAATTTTTGCATAAGTATAATTTGTTTTAATATTTTATAAAAATTAGTTAAATATGGGTGTTTAAAAAGTAACGTGAATTATGTATTTTGAAAAAAATAAAACTAGAAATTTTGATTTTTACTGCTTTGTGCTGTTAGAAACAACAGTATCTGGTAACGACATTATAACAAATTTTTATGAACATTAATAAAAGTTATTATAATTCCCTTTAGACATTATTGTATATATTTATGTTTTGTTCACAAATACTTTCATTCCGCGCATAGGAATTCTTGTGTAAACGACTTATAGGAACTCTTGTGTAAAAGACTTATTTGCAATTTTATTAAAACTGGTATGAGAGGGAAGTAAATATAGTTTGGAACTTTTTAGAATATTGAGAAGTAACATTTATCAATAAATCTAGTAAAAAAACTAATCATTTGAAACTTTAAATAGATAACGGAAAAAACAGTTAAAAAAAAAAGAAGATAATAATGGGGCAGATGAAGCAAAAAACAAAATAATACAGAAGATACAGAAAGGTTGAGATATAGTTACCTATTTAAGTACCCACTGCGAAAATTATCTCAAAAACAACTTTAATCTAGTTGTGATATTATGATACAATATCAAAATATCCTTTACGAGTCACAGGTTAAGTACAAACACACTTCTACTAATGTTGGATGCAAGTTAAAATCAAAATCAAAGGACTTTGATCGTAAAAATGGTGTTTGTACAGATCCTGAAAAAAACTGCTTGGTATCTAGATTAAAAGATTTTAGAAGAATGCTGGGTTTGGAAGGGAAAATGTGGTTTCAGGGTATAGTATTATAACCAAAATCATCAAATTGAATTAAAATACAAGAATCAATTTAAATTGTCTTCTTTAAAAAGAAGAATCTTTTTTAAAAAAGTTTTTTCTCTCTTAGCACCAAATACAATTCAACGTGCATGTTTTTGTTTACTGCAAAGCTTTTTAAGTTTTGCATGATTGGTACTTGCGCAAGCAATGTTACAGTATGTTAAGAACTATAAATAAAGGCAGAGTATAAACCTTTTAGTGATTTAAAAATAAGAAATGGTTCAGCTCATATCATTTTAATAGTTTTTTCTTTAAACTTTCTAGACTGTTTATATGAAAATTTATTCGTAAATTTTCTTCCAAATTCAAACGCATAAAAAAATTACTAATGATATTCTTTTAATATTAAATTTGTTTATAATAATATTTAGTAATTGCATTGGAATTTTATCAACTTTATTTGATTCGTGGAAAAATATAAATTTAGTTTTGTCAGAATTTAGAGAAAGTCTGTTACTTAAAAACTACACAATAGGCAGGGTGAATAAAAATGAGCTATTGCTTCTTTTCAGTAATTGGTCAGCTTTACGTGAATAAAAACTTTAGGAATTTTGGTTTAGTTTTTATTCGCGTAAAGCTGAACAACTACTAAGTAAATTGCTTATCTTAACGTGAACAAAACTCCTAAAGTTTTTACTCGCGTAAAGCTCACCAAATACTGAGAAAAAGCAATTGCTCATTTTATTCACCTGGCCTATTAACTTTTTCAAATTGTTCATTAACGTGTTTAAAAAGTATTTTAATACCTTTGTATCAATAACAAAGATTGGAATCATTAGCAAATACAATTATATTTTTAACTTTTGATGATAAATATAGATCATTTATGTATAGTTGACACAATAATCTATTAGTGTATATATATATATATATATATATATATATATATATATATATATATATATATATATATATATATATTAAATTTTTAACATTTGATGATAAATATAGATCATTTATGTATAGTAGACACAATAATCTATTAGTATATATATATATATATATATATATATATATATATATATATATATATATATATATATATATATATATATATATATATATATATATATATATATATATATATATATATATATATATATAACGTAACTAAGTTACACAAAGTAGTAATTGCAGCATATCAAGATACGCAATTAAAGGAGAAAGTTATTGAACAAGATAAGTACCTACGTCTCAAAACGATACAAGACTAAAAGAGACGAAGGGATAAAAATACTATTTTGATAAAACCGACACTTAACAAAAACTTTTTACACAATATTGCAAAAATTGGTACAAAACAAAACAAAGTTTTTTTTATTTTGTAAAAAATGCAGTGCAAATCAAAACAATAATTTATTGTTTTATAAAAACCGATACGAAACGGAATAAGATTAAACTTTTTAGTTAAACTTTTGTTTATGAAATAATAAGTTAGTAAGTATTAAACGCGCATTTCTTTTGCTTGAATGTTAAAGTTTATGTAATGCTTGGGGGGGGGGGGGTGGAAATCCTAAAACACATATATTTGGGACGGGGGAATTATGAAATGTTGCGTAAAAAGCGATAGAAAAAATCGAAATTTTTTTGTTTCGTAAAAATACGGTGCGAAACAAAACAAACTTTACTTGCTCCGTAAAAATACAATGCAAAACTAAATAATGTTTTTTTGTATCGTAAAAAAAGGCACGAAACAAAAATTATCGTTTTGTACCGAGTCAAACCGAACTTTCAAGAGGATACGAGAAGACGCAGGTGCTTAGTACAAGAAAATAAAACAAACGAATTAAAAAATTTAAATATATAAAAACAATACACTTATTGGGAAGTCTTCTAAAATCAAGCAACAATGCTTGCAATTATGTTCCCTAATTTTAACTGTAAATAAACACACCCACTCAAAAGAAATAAATGCCATTATTATTGGAATCTTACTAAATAACACAGTTAAGGGTAGTAAACAAGTGATGGACGTTTTTTGGAGCTGCTGAATTAGAAAATCTTGAAATTAGGCATATTTGCAGACTAAAGTCAAACAAACTAAAGGAACATCAAATAACTTTAACATTATCAAAATGTAACACTATCTTTCTCTAATAAAATAAAAAAAAAATTAAATCTAAACATTAGCAAACACCATATCATTATCCATTATAACAAAGTTTTCGTTCAAGAAGATAGAACTTCTGCTGAGCATGCTGACTTTGATACTAAGCAATCACAAACAGTCAAATGAAATGAAGAACTTAATGCTCCAGAGCTGCTACATCAGCCATTTCAAAACGTCATCCATCGCATTGGTAAAATTGTTTGCATCAACGTTATTGAATCAACCAGAAATAAACAGTGTGTTTTTAAATCAGCAACAACCATACTCAATAGTCGTCAAAGTTTGGTCAATAGAATCAATAATGAAGGACTCAGAACATCAGCTACCGGCGCAACTTCATCTTTGGCACCTACCAAACCTGAAACTCGAGATACACCAGAAAAGTAAAAATTAATGCATCCAGCCATCATTTTTGATTTCAAGATTGAAATCAAAAATCCAACTTCTTACGGTTATCTTCCCAATTATCAACTTGATTTTCATCAATACCAGAACAACAAGGTTTCTTGAAAAATATCCCATGTTCATTAAACAATTTAAAGAAAGGGAGAGCTTATAGCTAGAACAACATTTAAAACAGTGCATGAAAGAACTCAAAAAGTATTTTTTTTTAAATCATGGTGTAATTATATGTCTGACGCAGCTGCAAAAGAATATAAACTGTATTGAGCAGGCAGAGATAGCAGAGTAAGAGTTGCAGCAATATACACCAGATGTGATATAGTAACCGGAGAGGTTTAAATAAGGCAACTTAATTCAAAATCTACTGAACAAGTATGGTTTATAATCAGATTTAATTGCAATTAGTTGTTACTAGGAATCACAACTCAAGCAATTGAACCATTTAAAGCGGCTAA